CCTTTGTGCATCTTATTATGCAATAATAATGTACTGTGTATTATTGAGTCATGTTTTCATTACATTACATATTCAGTACCTGCTCAGAATCAATATGTAGTGTGGAATTGCAATGCAGCTGTTGTATCTTATATTGCTGCACAACCATAAAACCCCAAAGTGTTGAATTTCATGTATTTTTCCATAAATAGATGCAGTGTTTAGGTAAATTAAATAAAAGCTCCATTCCAGATCTGTTTCGCTCCCACCCACTCTCTTCCTCTCTGCCTATTTTCCTCTGATAGGTGGGTGGTGGATGGATGTACACAACTGAAGGTTGTGCCTCTCACAGTTTATCAGCTTGAGGAAGTGATGACCTCACACATCACTGAATCAGTCAGTCTATCAATAACATAACTGAAGAATCTGTCTTTATTGGGAGGTATTTAGTGTTGAATCAGTCCTTAACTAGCAAAGAGTTAATCCTACACCAGCGAGTAATATTGTTAAATATTTATTGTTGCACAATTACATATATTACTGCGGTTGTTAGGGATGAACACAACTTATCCAAATACCAATCAGCTTCTAGGTTGTCCTGCTACATGCTACAACTTGTGTGTTTGCATAGTAGCTTAGCAATAAATATGTAGGTATGCAGAAGCTGTCTCACCATCTGATTCTTAGACATTTGCTGCGTTTCAGCAGAAACGGAGTGGTGAGTTACTATAAATGTGTGCAGTACAGTACATACAGTGTAATTGTGCCTTAATTTGAGCTGATACTGCCTTGGATTCCCAGGTAAGACACACACACACACACACACACACACACACACACACAGAGACAGTGGACAGTCAGTGATTTTTAAGGTCAGGAATGGATAAGTAATGAAGGTTAAAACAACATGCAGAGTACGATTATTGATTGTTTATAAGGGAAGAAGAAAAGAAATGAGACTGTCCTGCGTGAGTTGAGCTAAATTATGTTTCTTTTGCGTTATCATCCTCTAATTTGTTAGCCACAAGTTGTCAGTACGTCAATATTCTCAACAACTCAATCAATGTTAGGGTTTAGTTCCTCTTCTTCACTTGAAATAATTGTTTTCAGAATTTTTTTTCTTCCAAAAGTCTTTCGTTTTTTGCATGTAACTTTCCTTCTGCCCTCTCGAAACCTTTACTTTTGCACTTGCAGATTTCTCTGTTCTTTTTTTCTGTCTAGACAAACACACACACCTGCTGATTTGATTGCTGTGTTTATCAGCTGTACACTTTTCCCTCGCTCTCTTGAAGGCCGAAGACACTCAGTCGCCTGAAAACTGGGAGAGATGCTGGGGCTCTCTGTTGCCATAGCGACCAACAGGCTCACCTGTTGCCAACAGTTCTGTTCTTTAAAAAGAGGAGAAGCATAGAGAGACTGATAAAGGACTGCAAAAGAAATGCACAGTGGGGCCAAGAGAAGCACATACAGAAAGAACAATGTGTAAATTAGAAATAAAATGTAACTTAATGATGCCTTAAAGGTGCAGTCAAAATGTAGGACTTTTATGTAAATCCAACCACCCATTGTTATATTGCTCGGATTATCTCCAAAGATGTTCTCTGTGTGATTTATCTGAGCAAAAAAGATTTATAATGTAAAGTCTAGTGTAATTTGCAATGGTATTGTTTATTTAAATTTAATAATTCACAAAAATTTATTCTCTGACATATTTTCAATGGTCAATGCTTTGGATATTGATTATGGTCAAAATGTAACGTCTAGAAGACAATGGAGGCAAAAAAGATACATTAAGGGCTGAGAACAAAGGTTGACATGCTGTGTATTTATAATGATCTTTCCTGTCCTGTTATCCCATTAAAATGTTGAGGATTAGTCATAACTAAAGAGCTTTCAGCTTGTGTACGAAATAATGATAATTTCAGTCCATGTGACACTTGAAGATGAATCATGTTTTCAACCATCATTACCTGCACATTGTTAATGGGTGTGTGCGTTATACTCTGAAACACAGAGACGACACAGTTGAGGTGCAGTTAAATTCACCTTCAAAATCATATGAAATGGCTCTCAAATTCGAGGACTAATATTAATATTGTTCCACTTTCTCCCAGTGTTATTCTTTCACAGTACGAAGAACTCAAACACCTCTCATTAATCACTGTGAATGATTCTAGTTAGTCACTCTTGTTGGGGTTTTCTCAGAAAAAGCAGCCAAGTATCTTCATCAGACCTACATTTTCTTATGAAAGTCTGTTCTGTGCCGTGTTACCTGGCTTTGCTCTGTGTCATTGGCTTGCATTATGTAATTGTTGTATATGGAAATGTGGTTGGATGTGCTGAGGACAGTCAGGAGGTGCTAGTTAAAACTGGCTGACACCAGAGACTGTGTGTGTGTGTGTGTGTGTGTGTGTGGGGTGAGGAGGTGGCAGGCAGCAGGAGTATGTGGTCAAATCACAACATTGCAATTTCAGTCTGCGTGGGGCAGCGGGGGCACATGCAATTATTCAACTGACAGTTTTGATTACAACACTGGAGTTTGCATTTGTGTGTGGACAAGGCACTGTTTGTATCTGTTCTATTTCCTGACTATGTTGTGAGACTGTTGAGAGGGTGTGTGTCTGCGTGATACTTATCAGTGGTGAGATTGTTTACATGGCCTGGTACACAATCTTAACACACAGTGACAAGAAACAGAACAGAGATTTCTATTTCACACACACACACACACACACACACACACACACACACACACACACACACACACACACACACACACACACACAGTTTTTTTTTCTATTGCAGCACTCTGTCTGTGTGTTTGCTTGGCCGATGAGGTAGATCATCATGTTTATGTATATTTTACCTGCTGATGAATTATCAGCCATGACATTAAAGGATCACACCAGGGGCTCTGCATGTTCTAGCACAAATTACCTACAAATCACAGTAGCCCCAGTACACTTTAAATGTTAGCCATGTTGTTGTTTTAAAAATGTATGAATGTAGTTTTTACACTGTTCCAGCCATTAATGCGTTTCCATTAATTCCAGTACAGTATGGAAATCTATTAGCTGACTCTTAAGAGTTGCCCATGTTGTGTCATCCATCACAGTGAACATTGAGGCTGCGTTCATTTTTGTGAAGGTTATAATAGTGCTTGCTCATAATCTTCTTATGAACTGCATTAACATGCAGTGATGATATAACTCTGACTAAAAAAAGTGTCAATATGCTGCTAATTGATAACGTACAGGAGAAAAGAATGGAAACAATGGTTGTCTTGAACTGTAGAAAAATTCATCTTAAACTCTACAACTTAACATTTTATTTTCATAAAATGTAATAAAGTGCTGCGTGATTTGCTTCAATAATTGATTTTTTGGCCACTTGGGGGCAACATAACAAGATAACCACACTGAAACACCCACTAACAAGTCGATATGGCATTATGTCTTAGCAGACATTAACAGACATGGAGCAACATTAATATTAATTTGAATTCTTGTTCGCAACTCCTGAGAGAACTATCTGGCTCTTAAGCTGCTAGATGCTCCACTACATTCTCAAGCTCTTCACTACCTCTTTTTGTCTGTTGTTTGTTGCTAGGCAGGTAGGATACTGTTGGTTTATCAGAGCTTTTTTTTTTTTTTTTTTTGCAAAAAACAGCTGCATCTGGAAAAAAGTCGCTTTGTGATTGAACAAAAACAGTTAAGTTGTCTGCCTTAAAACCAAAACAATGGGCTGAAAGACACTACAAAGCTCTGAGAGGAACTCCAGAGTCAGGTGATGATTCTCTGTGGATTTGTCGCATTACTAATCCTTCATTTGAATTTACAATCTCCAACACTTAATTCACATCTGTCTGTGCTTCATCCTGTGTCCCTGTCTGTGATTAATTCTCTATGATTCTTTTCACCAGCCTACACACCTGTCTGTCTCTCTCACTTAGTTTACATCTCTACTAATCATTCTAACGCCATAAATTTAACATTTAGTTTCAGTCACAATGTGGAAGAGACCTTGTGAAACTGTTAATATAAAAGAGCAGAGCTTTTCCCTCAAAGGAAAAGCTACAACCTGAATCTTAGTAGACCACAATGTTGCTTCTTTGCTATTGTCTTGTATTGAATTGACGATTTCTCAAAGAGAGTTTGAGAGTCACACTGCTCTGGTGAAGTGTAATAAATAGTCAAGGTAGATGAAGAATAAATAATGTACCTGTTATTATTCCATGTCTTGTATCATGAGGAGTACAGCTTTTTAACATGCGAGACAATTGTTGTGACCTCAGGTGTAACTTGTTTTCAGATGTGAGCGTAAGTGTACATAATCTGACAAGCGAGTAGTCAAGCAAACACACACACACACACACACACACACACACACACACACACACACACACAGAGAGAGACATGCATCTATAATTACACAAATACAATCAAAAGAAGCTTTCAGTGGCTTCTTTCACCCCCACTGCACACAGACAGTGAGCGGGCCTCTGAAAGCATCCCTTCAAAAAGGAAAAAATTAATAAATAAAAAATAGTCAATGGTGTAAGAACGTCTGCCCCAATGAGATCATGCAAACATGAATAGGTTCAGACACACACACGCACACTTTTGGACACAGATAGTGGAGCAGCAGAGGTTTAAAATCCAAGTCAGGACTTTCAGCTATTACTCCTTAGAGAAACAAACAGCTTTTCTACACGGGAGCAGAAGATGCATTACCTCGTTCTTATCTTCCTATTTGCAGCTTTGGTTGTTTTGCAGTATTTGTTTTTTTTTTTTTTAGCCTCATTGCGTTTATCTCTCTTTGTTCTGTTGTGTACTGAGAATTTCGCTCAGCACTTTTAAATATTATTGTGTATTTTATTTGTGCAGTGAGTGTAAATTACTCATCTCTGTGTTTTCTTGTAAATTCATTAGTGGTATCATTGTTTTGACGGAACCATGTTGTGCAACTCTATATGATTTAATCCTAATCAGTCAATGTTTTTGTGTGTGTCCTACTTGCAGACGACGGGCCGTACCAGCGAGACCCGCCTCCCCCTCCTCCTCTCTGTTCTTCCTCCACATCAAACGCTCTGTTGGAGGAGCGAAGGAAGAGCCACATCCCAGAGGAGTTTGCAGGCCTTCTTCATGGATCATCCCCAGCCTGTGAGACCCCTGATACACCTTACCATCTTTACAGTCCCAAACCTCGTAAATATGCCTCTACAGATGTCCAGAGCAGTTTGCTGCAAACCCCAGAGTTCAGCATCGTGATTGGAGGAGGACCCACTCAGGTCTTCTCCAGGACAGGGAGTGAGTCGTCGCCACAGAGGACCGCCAACGACCCCCAAAAGCCGCAGGTGGTGTACCGGACTATCTTCCACACCAGGGTCAACCAGGACCAGGCTCGACCTAAGAACTGCAATCAGTTAGATCCACCGCGTGGGTGGTCTACACTAGACCGCCCACCCTCCTACTCCTCTGGTCAAAACAGGGAAGTTCCAGTAGGTGTGCCAAAGGACAGTTCATCTGGGCCTGGCTACGAAGAGAGGGCTTGCACCCTGGGGAGGATGAGGTCTATGCCCCGCAGTGTGTTGGACTTGCAGTTGTCCAAGTCTCTGTCCAAGTCTGATTCCAACCTGGTAGCTGTATCTCCCATACAGGTAGGTTATTGTAAATAATCTCACTGTCTAAAACCACTGATTCTATTTACAATCACAGCATTAACTGTAACGTGTTTTATGAAACAGAGCACGGCATTTGTGTTACATTATGAAATCAAGTTAAAACTTTAACACTATCATGTTTCGTTCTTCTGAGACGTTTATGTAAGAGGCCAAGGATAACATGAAAGCCTCTTTTAAAGTTATAAAAAGTTTCTCTTTTTTATAAAAGTTTAGGTCAGCACCAAGATCACAGTTAGCAATGAAAGCAAATGCTTTTACGGTAAATATTCAGTTGTATAAATTATGCAGTCATGGAGGTCGTTTGCATCTTGCTGTATCATGCAGTGTGACTTCAGAAACAGCACAGAAGCCAGTCCAACCAATGAGATAACTCACTAATCTGGGCCACAGTGCTCCCTGCTGTGCAGCACATTTTATGAGATGACTTCTTTAATTCATAGTAAATAAATCATAAGCTAAATACATAGTCTGTTTGATGAAAATAGCTTCATTATAACCAAAACTTTGATGAGCTGAAAGGACTTAGTTATACTCTAAACAGTTTTTAGTGCTTAGTTGTCCATATTTTTAAGGTTAAAATATTTGACAACCTTTGTAGTTTATTGCCTGTAGGTTAATAATGCTTGAAAACAAAATGGTTGGTTTTTGTCTGGTCCAGGAGGAGCATAGTTGGGGGTCTGGATCTCGGGGCCAGGGGCCTGGAAGTCCAAGCCCAGGAGAGGGAGCCAGCCCAGGGGGAAGACTGGAGAGAACGCCCTCCTTTACTGCTGAGTGGGAAGAGGTAAGAAGACATTTTTTGTGACATGTCAAGCTTTTTACCTGATGTTTATGATCAATCTATATATTGTAGAGGGAGAAGATCGACCAGTACCTGTACTGTGACACTACATGTGTTTCTGTAGTAAAATTTATTAAAACCATCATGTTTTTCAAAGTAAACTGTCTCTGCAGGGGACAGTTGAAATCTCTGCACCCACAGCTGTGAGCTGCTTCAGTTTTTTCTCTTTGAAATCCACTCAGTTACTGTGGTACAGAAGGAGCCCCAGTGCTAATTTAACATGCTTGTACATTGATTTTCCTCTGCAACCAGCACCGGAGCTGCAGGGAAGACCAGATATCAGAGAGAAAGCCGTTTCTATTATAGAGGGTATAGAGCGGAGGATGAGAGTGCTACGTTTTTTTGGTGTGTTCGCGCTGGGAGCTTCTTGGATTTGTTGGATCGTGCCTCTTTATAAACAATGTGGGTCACAGATGCATTAGCCTCTGCTCACTGACCATCGTTCACACCACAGAAAACATAGACTTTGAAAACTGATGCTCATGCGTGTTTACACCTTGAAAATTAAGAATTTCATACTATTTTTCATGACACTTCTTTGGAGAATATTATAGGTAATAATGAGGGTGACTTGATTAGTATCTCTACTTACTTACTACTAAAAGAATGCTATTGCGTGAGTAAGTCCACATTTGCATGTACATGTTCATTAGTTCCTCAGCACAGCTCATAACTTGCTGATGGTGATGAATTACCATATGGAATTTCCCATAATTTCTGAGCAATTAAGGTGACCTTTCCTGTTTAATTGCATGCTACGGGAGGATAAGATAAGATGGCTTCAGGGAAATTGTGGAGTGATTTATGGGGATTTCAGAGGGAAAAAAATAACAAAGTTGCTCTATTCGCAGCACATGCCAGAGAGAGAGTTGCATTATTTGCAAGAGACGAATCACGAGGGATGTCCCACAACAGTCACTGATCTGAAGATATCCATACTCATTAGTGCTACATGCTAGAAGAGGCAGATCAATGCGTGTTACAAATTTGTGCATTAAAATCGGCATTACCTTGAAAATCGCTGAAGTGTTGAGATTATTTTTTGTTATCTGGATGTTAATTAAAAGCTTGTAGTGAAATGTGGGTTCTTCAGACATTCAGAAAGACCTTTTCCATCAAACAGGTGTTTAATCTAGAAAACTGTAGCTACGGTAGATCGCTGAAAAGATATTGCCAGCGTGTTGGAACTTGGTTCTTATTTTTAGTAGTTGCCCATTTTTCCTATCAGTAATTAAGTTAGTGGTGAGATGTTATAATGCAGTAAAACAGTGAGCCAACAGTAAAAATTGTTCCATAGAGCTGAGGGAATCTGCAGACAGGTGATAATTCTGTCTTTGTCGCTATAAAAAAACCCCTTTCACAATACTCAAAGTAATCAGATCAATTGCTAGTACCATATACACATTGATTAATGCAGCTTTAAATCACCTGTATTGCCTTTTCTGAGTGTTTAGCCTCTTGGTTCTATATACTAAGTTCATGTGAACTAGTGCTTTGTGTGATGCCTGTTTATCCTGCTCCAAATATGAGGCCAACTTCATGGTCCATCAGCTTGTAAACACTGTTTGCATTTGTCAGACCTGACCCTTAGAGTGCTGGTCTTGGACTAGTGGCAGCAAAGCCAGGCTTCTCTGACCCATGGTGAGCCAGCAAGCCTGACAGGTGGATGGATGTGCAGGTCACATAGATCAGTGGTTAGCAGCAGGTCCAGGGTCAGGGATGAGCGGTCGACAGCCAGCAGCCAGACACTAATGAAGCCACAGTAGTTCTCTCCAATCCAGTCTCCCTCCTCCTTCATCTCTGCTCTCCTCTGTCTAAGTTTCCTGCTAACACATCTTTTCCCCCTTTGCTCCTCCATACCTTTTCAATTCACTGGTGGAATGATTGACATTCAGTGTGCTGGCTGGCGTCATGTTATGTGACACTTGAATCCAGAAATAGGGGTTAGCCTTATTACTGGGATATGACTTTCCCTTGCACATGCTGTACATCTCTCTAATTCTGGTTCTCTCTCTCTCTTCCATTTGTTCAGATCGACAAGATAATGAGCTCTATTGGGGCAGGAATAGGCAGTGGATTGGACATCAAGGAGGACATCTCAGGTAAAACATACACAAATATGTATATGTGAGTAACTTGAAATGAAAGGATAATTCCAATTTATTGCAAATTGGGTTCTGGTATTCTGGTAGTTTTAGTCATTATCAATATTGGTTATGATAGCACTGCCCTCACCGAAGTAATTTCTGATTTCCGAGAAAACATCACAACAACAAAGTCTAGCAGGGCAATAAACACAAACAGCTGTGAACAGTGTAGCCAGGTTATTTAAACTAATTTATTTGGAGGTAAAACAAAAAGTCACTGCATGTGAAAGCAATGCTCCTCATTTTTCAGGAAGACAGTACAACTATGGAAAGTAGTTGAACCAGGAAGTTGATGTGTCAACTGTGATGGATGTTTTACAATAGACTATTTGGGTAATAATTTCAAACACAAAATTTTGAAAAAGGTTGGAAACCTCTGCCCTAGAAATATCCAGGTAAATTCACTGGATAATAACTGACGTGGAGCCCTTGTGAAATGATGATAATTGTCTTCCTGCTTGAACTTGTGCTAGAAGCATCTTTGATATCACTGATCAGAAAGATGATCAATACTATAAAAATAAGACCTTAGTTGTAATAATCAGGAATTATCTTATTTGTGTGTGTGTATCGCTGTGGGTAAATGAGATCTTTGGTGACACTTGAATGAAGTAAATTTTGTGCACATCAAATCCCTGTTTTTGCCAGTTTCTTCACCTGCGTACCTCGAATCCTCTGCTACTCATCTCTATTTACTGCGTTCATCCCCCTCTCCCTGTGTTAACTCCCCCATCCTCCACTTCCCGATCCCCTCCCCTCTTCCTCTCTCCCTCTCTCTTTTCATCTGTGAATGCAAAGCCTCTGCTAACCATGGTTACCACAGGGAGAAATCCTGTTTGTGCCAAACCAGCTCTACCCCCTCCCACATCTATTCCCACCACCACCGCCACCACCACCAACACACACATGGCCATAGCACACCACACACACAGGCACCACACATACACCACAAACACATACATATAGATGCAACTGCATACATACACTCAGTGTGGTTTGTGTGTGTGAGTGGGAGGGAGCTTGGCTTCTTGCAGACAAAGAAGCTGGAGCTGTTGTGATGGCTGTTATCAGCAGAGCGAGCCAGATATATGTAGAGCGGCAGGGCGAGAAGGAGCAGGGCAACGATCGACACCTCAAGAGAAGATAGAGACAGAAGGTAGACAGAGGAAAGTGAGAGAGAGCGTGAGGGAACGAAGGAGGAAAGCAGCGCTCAGAAAGGAGAGGGAGAGAAAGAGAGAGAGAGGAGGCTGCAGAAGCATACAGATGAGAGTGGGAGTACTTGATAAAGAGAAATCTACAGCGCAGGCAGCTCTCGCTCTTTCTCTCTCTCTCTCTTACACACACATACACTCTCACATACACACTCTCTCACACACACACACGCTCAGGGGAGCAGCCAAGCGAGCGCAACAGCTGAAAAAGAAAGCGGCTGCTGTGCACGACAAACACACAGTCAGTTGCTTTTGCTTGCGGATCTGTAACTCCAGTCTTATCCAACACCCACCTCTGGCAGGATTTTACCCCCAGGACGGAAGCTCTTTTCTGGATACAACTTCAGCCTTCATCCCCTTCTCATCCTTCCTCTGGCTGGATTCAGAGAAAGCAGCATCTGGACGCCTTAACCCTTTACCCGCTTGCACCCTTGCATGCTGACCCCGTCCATCCTCACCATGTCTCTAGCCTAGCGTCCCCTTCCCCCTTTTCCTCCTCCTCCTTTCTTCACCTTTTCCCCCCTTCTACCTGCCTACCCTCTATTCTGCTCCTACTGCTGCCTTGCCAAAAGACTCCTCAAAAGCATGGCGGGCTCCTTCGACAGCCACTTTGCCCGCCATAACATGATGTGGCAGTGCCAGCTGTCTCAGCCGGACTGTTGCTGCTACCGCGTGGACGGCTACTCCCTACTGAAGCGTTTGCCCCTCCACCCCCTCATAGGTCCCCGCTGCCCGCTGCAGTCTGTGGGCCAGTGGCTTGACTCCATCGGCCTGGTCCAATATGAAAACCACTTGCTGGCCAATGGATTTGACAACGTCCAGTTTATGGTGAGTGTTTTTACAAGTGTTTTTGGGGAAAAGAAGGAAGCAGTAAAGATTTAGATACTTTGAGTTTAGGATGGGGTATGATCATACATTTTTCCTCCCTTCTTTTTCTGTTTTTTTTTTTTTTTTTTTATGTTTGCTTTGGCTTTAAATGTAATCTCCTCTCTCTGTTTGTCCCACCTCCTTCTAAGCTCTCTCTGCTCCCCTAGGTGTTACTCATCATCTCTCATCATTTTCTTTGCAGTGATTAGCAAGACTAGTTTTTTTCTCTTTCATTCTGCTTTCTTTCAATTCTGGATTTCCTCCTTTTTTTATCATCTTCTGTCTTTCTCTCTTTCTCTCTCATTCTTGCTTTCCCATCATCACTGCCTCTCCCTACTGATGCCATGTGAGGTCCTCCTACGCACAGAAATCCTACGCCACATCTCCACCACAGCAAAAATCCAGCTCCAGCATCAAGCTGAACACATACACACTCGTACTAAAAATGCATGTCGAAACCATGGTTGTCTCATGGTTTTTGCATACTGTTACACACGCACACACAGAGAAATTTTGCAGGTATGACCACCTGTAGCAATTGCATCAAGATGCAACCATATGGGCTGTTCATCTCCAGTGATTAATTTTTTGCATTCAGAAACACTTTTGATGTTGGTGTGAGTGTGTGTGCATGTGTGTCTTCCCCAGGAAGAAGGGGTACATGAAAGATAAAGTAGGAAATGAGGAGAAAGTGGGAAAGCGGAAGAGAAGCAAAGAAGCCAAATTGAGAGAAACTGCATGAAAGGCAGAAATATGGGAAACAAAGCAGAGGGATGCTGACTGGATGAGTTTATCTGGAGTTTCAGATTGTCACTATTGGGGGGAAAAAACCTCATATCTTCGAAAAGACAAATTTTCAGTGGTTTGTCTAAAGGATTTTAGAACCAATAGAAATGTAGTATTTTACCAACCAGTGGAGGAGATTTTAATGTCTCATGTTTCAGTTGCAGCAGGTTTATATTTGTAACTTACAAGGTTTTCACATGATGATACAGGGTTTGTGCTCCTTTATTTTTGACCACAACTAACAGTATGTAGGCATTTGTACATTTATGTATGTAGGTGTGTAAGTGTGTGTGTTTGTGTGTGTTCCAGTCCTCCACTCAGTATGACCTGCATCTGTTGCTTTGGTTACCCTGGCAACAGGAGGAAATCACAGAATCTCTCTGTTTCTTTCTTTGTGTATCTCTCCCACACGTGGTCAGTGTGTATCTGTATTTCTGTTTTTGGTCACAAGCATACTTACGCATTTAATATGAATTAGTTAATTGGTTCTGGGGCTGGTAGGAGGTTGTGTGTAACCCGTGTGTGTGTGTGTGTGAGAGGACACTCTTGCTCCTCTCTCTGTTACTCATCTACATTTGTCTCAGATCTCTTCAATGGCTAATTATCATTTTTCCATATTAACCAGTCATAGACTGCGACTAACACACCAGCATGCACATGGCGTCATACTCTCCTCTTCTGTTTCTCCCCGTCGCCTTCCTTCTTTGTTTCATGTCTTGTCCATCTTCCCCATTCCCTCCTTTTCTTTCTTACGTCAGTGTAATTCAGTGAAGCACCATTTGCATAATGTTTTGATGAAAACATGTTGCCAGAGTACACATAAATAATACATACAATGAACACATTTTGTGTGTGTGTGTGTGTGTACATATATATATATATATATATATATATATATATATATATTCATAGTACATGACGCAGCTAGTTACTGATGAAATAAATAAAGGGGGGAAAAAAAGGAAAAATCTGTGAATTACTTATTACTGTGTATTTCTTCCTCCCTCTAAATCCTTGCAGTGTATGATAATGCCTTCAGCATTAATATTATTTTGAACAGATTTCACATGGCTTGTTTTACAGGATATCATATAAAGTTCACAGGTAATAAAGAATATTATTTGGCTATAAGCTGTGTAAGGCCTAGGCCAGTGATAGGCTGTGTTTTAGCCTAAATCAAAGCGTATAAGGTTGCAATAGAGAAACTGCATACCTAACCTACCTACCTGCTACCTAACCCTTTTGTCCAAATTGGTTTGAGTACCACCTCTTGTTCATTAGCCGTAATTGATTTTTTTTTTCTTTTTTTTGGTCACTTTGAGGCAGCGCAACAAGCTGTAAACACAGCTTTACATATTACCACCTTACCATGTAAATTTGTTATGAGAAACATTTATGCAAACAGTGGCCTTGTTATGCATCCAGCAGTTCCGGAGTAACATTATTATTATTAATTTGGAGGTGTTTTTTTGTCCAGTATTCAATCTCATTTTAACTCTGCTTTGATTTCTACCAATTCCTGAGAAAAATATTTGGCTTTTCAGCAGCTAAATGATCAACTATACTCACTAAAGAGTCACTAACATTGTCTGCTCGCTGTTTGGTGCTGGGCAGACTACACAAAAAGTTTGTTAGAAAGAGTTTGCTGAAAACAGCTGCCTGCTACAGGTGGAAACAGCACTGATGAGGGCAGTGAGGCTGAAACAACTGTAATGCTGTAAACCAAAATAATGAGCTAAAAGAGCTAAAGCTCTCCATAGAGCTGAGATAAACTACAATAATGCTTCATACATGTATTCATTGCTTCAATCAGAAGCCACTGGGCACAAGATTTATTAGTTTTCACTCTCAAAAAATTACCTTTTATGGTTAACTGTCAGTAAAGGAATTCACAACTTAACCAAACCCTTCACAACTGTCTCCCATTTAAATTTAAGTTTGATTTAAGTTAAATTCACTTTTTTGTTATTAGTAGAGCACACTTCTGCCAAATGTTGGATCATTAGTTAATTGCTGTGTATTTACATTGGATCAAACACGTCTTACTGCAGGGGTAAGTAAGTGAACCAGTAGAGGTAGACAAGGAGTCACTGTGCAGCAGCTATGGGAGTGTCCAGGCAACCGTTAACATCAGATTTAACCTGTTCACATAAGCTAAAAATCTCTTTCCTCTATTAGTAATGTCCCCAGGTGAACCCTCCATTCATTTACACTCCTTCCTCTTAGTCTGGCACACACACATACAAGCTATCATATCAGCGTGCCAACATATTTTGCTCTCTTTTGCACCTAGTTTGTAGTTGCTAACAGTTTTTGGCAGTACTTGTGAGAGACTTTTGAGGGATTTTTTGCTCTCATGGCCTCGCCCCTCTTGTCTAAAAATGTTCCTCAATAGCTCAGTTGCCTCCTCTGAAATGCCTTTAGATACAATTAATATTGAAAGGAACTGAGATGAAACAGCCTTGCAAACATCACGGTGACTTCAAAGTCCTTTTCGTGAGTGGGCCCCTCTCTGTGTCTCTCTCTGTTTAAAGGTTTTCTGGTGTCCCGCTTGCTGAATAGAGTTTTACCCTCTTTGTTGTTCGTGACTAAACAGAAGACAGTTAATGTTTTCCAACCTTGGGAAAACTAGTGGTTACCACAAATTGATATTAATGCAGCTGAGACACGGGCTACAGGAATTACATTGATATTTGTAGCACTTCTTTTTTTTAATTAGTGGCCGTGGATCCTTCAAGGAGATGTTTGGGTCAAATTCATTTCAGCTTCACTCTGTATAGGAAATAAAGTTAACTGGCAGATTCAAACTCGAACAAGTCACCGCATTACAAAATAAAACCTTTTTCTTTTTTTTCTTTTTTCATTTCAAGACGAGTTCAAGTTCATCTGTAGAATTGAGTGGTTTGCAAATGAATTTGACCTTAAATCTGATCTGTATCAGTGTATGACGGCAAAAAGGTAGTGTGCAGAAATGTATGCAGACATGCACACATATACATAAACATGGACAATTCCCATCCAATTCCATTACCATTTAGCACTAATGGGGGTCATTATAGTGGGTGTGTCTCATCACCTTAACCAGCCAGTAGAGGACAAGTTCTGCTGGATTGATGGACAAATAGCAGTGGGGTGGAGCGGTTGTTATGGAGACAGCATTTAATATGAAGGACACTGGATGGAGACTAATCACACCCTTTTAGATACATACATGTATAAGTGAGTGAGAAAAAGAGGAAAAGCAGAAGACAGACAGCGGAGCTGAACAAAGACAATTGATTGATATAGAATATAGAGATTGTATTGTGTTTGTTCAGACTGAATACTTAAAGACCAACTGAAACGACTCTGGCTAAAAGCAGAATCTGCAACACAGCACAAAAACAGGCACAGAATTTGAGCCACAATCTAAATTAGTTTTCTAGCTAAACAAACATGTACCATGGAAAAATGCTTACTAATGTCAGTTTGCTAGCAAGGCTGTGAGTGAAAGTGAAACACTGAAAGCTACTGACACATTTTTTCTTTGAAAATTAAAAAAAAAAAAAAAAAAAAACTTGCATTAATTCATTAATTTTTTTCCCAGCAGTGGCAGCAAAACAGGCTGTAAGCAACAACTTCAAAGTTTGATACAGTGAACTTTACACATCAAACAAACAGGGAGTAACATTGCATTTATTTTGAGTTGAATTTCTGGCTAATCTGGCAAATGGAAGCCCAATATTCACTCTCCTCTTAGCTCAGTTTTTTCTCTCCGGTAACTCCTGAGGGAAATATGTGGCGTTTTCACAGACTAAGTGCTCCACTACATTCACCAGCTAATAATTAACTTTGTTTGTCTGCTGTGCTGGGCAGGTAGTGTACAGAAGGTTTATCAAAGCTTTTTTTTCTGAGCTGTGTGCTGGGTCTGGAAACACTGCTGATGAAAATAGTGGCACTGAATCAAACTGGTCAAAGTTCCCGCTGTGAAACCAAAAGAGCTGAAAGAGGCTAAAATGCTGCATTGAGCTGAGGGGAACTGCAGAGTCGGGTGATACAGTAATTCTCTGTTTGGTAATCACAACGAGTAACCCCCCTTCAAACATTTAATAATTTCGTCATTTCTGCCATTGTTCATATGTTACATATTAATTGATGACAGGGATGTCTGATTGGGATTTCAGTTGGACTTTGAA